GAAATCTTCTAATTTCATAATGGGAATCCAGTGGCCAGGTTAGAATGAACTTTGCAGGTTTTTAAATAATAATCTTTGTTAGAGAAAATGTATCACCATACTTTGAAGAATAGTGGCAAATATCATTTACAAATGACTATGTGATCTTTGGAAAACAAACAGAACATAGACTCTTCAGTATCTTAAAAATAATCTAATATGCTTACATAGAAATGATTCCATTCATCAAAGTCCCAAAAACACCTAAATCTTTCAGGGAAGAAATGATCGTATTTTGATATTTTAGGATGTTCCATAATTTCATGCTTTATTTCCTTAACTTTATTTTTCCCTTTCAACTCATTTTCCTTATATCTCTCTCTACTTAAAAGTAAATATTCGTGTTTTGGCTTTTGTAAATGCCACAGCAGTTCAGACAGATGCTGCTGCTGAAGTTCTTGCTATTTGTTGGGGTATCTTGGACACCCAGAGAATTAAATTTCAAGTTGAGGATCAGTCTTAACATAACGCTTACGGCTTGACTAAACCCAAACAGAACTGGCAGTACGGTAACCAACCAGGGGTTGTCTGCTCAGTGATTTCCAGGCCCCCCTGTAAACAGATCTTTATATCGCGTCCTTTAACCGATTTATGGACCTTTGCCATCTTGCCATCCTTGTTTCACTCCACCTGTAGTAAGTACCCCAAAGCTTTCAAACAAATTTTGGGCTATGAAATTCTGGCCAGCTCTTCCAGTGTGCGTATGTGTTTCCCCACACATCCCAGCAGTTCTCTCTGATACCAGCTTCATGTCCTACAATTCAACTCAGTTTTACTCTGTCTACGCAGAGGTAGCATCGGATTCCACAGGTTAAGGGCTCAGCCTACGAGACTGCCCCCCACCCCACTTCAGATGCCGGATAAGGATGGCAGGGTGGCAAAGATCGGGCCGTGACCTCTTTCCGGGTTCTTTCCGGTGCTTCTGATGGATAAGCTAATAAATAGGAGGTTTCCATGATCCTCCCCTGTGGTTTGACTGATTTGCTAGAGCAGTTTGCAGGACTTGCTGGAGCATTTTACTTAATGGGTTACCAGTTTATTATAAAAGTATGTAATTTGGGAAGAGCCAGATGGAAGAAAGGCATAGGGCAAAGTATGGGGAAAGGGCTTGGGGCTTCCATGCTGTGCTGGTCAAGCCACTGTCAATGAATCTCCACATAGTCACCGACCAGAAGCTCTCTAAACCCCATCCTTTGAGTGTTTATGGGGGCTCTGTTATACGGATTCAACCTCTAGTCTCTCGCCAGTCCCCAAGGTCTGGGGAGGTCCTGAAAGCCCCAACCTTCTAACCCCTTGGTTTGTTCCCCAGGCAACCAATCCCAATTTAGATGCTTTCCCCAAACTGCCCCATTAGCATAAACTCAGGTGTGGTTTGAAAGAGGTTTCTTATGAATATCAAGACACCTTTATTGCTATTATCATTTAGGAAATTCCAAGGATTTTAGGAGCTATGTGCCAGAAGTGGTGAGAAGACCAGATATACCTATTTCCTATTATAAATCACAGTGTCACAGGTGGTTTTGCTCAAATATACAGCAGTTTAGAGAAATTAACTTTTATTGTTGTGGTATAAATTACACCATAAAACTTTGGGATGGTTTAGTGTATAGTAGAAGTATATTATGGTAATTATAACTTCTATGTTTCAGTGGCTTTTAATATACACATCACATGTCAGGACTTTATGAAACATACTGATTTTGATGTATCCACACCTAGTCAAGGATGTAACATCTCTCTTCACTCTTGGCTTCCTTAAGGGATTAAACACTAGGTATCCACAGCTATTTGACCAAGACAAGGCAATGTATTCTTCCCAAACAGAACAATTAACATTTGTTAATTTATAGCCATCAGTGATATTAGCACATTAATTGAAAAGCTGTTTGTTACAAAATCAGAAAATAAACTTTAACTGAGTTAAGACAGAGGCCATGTCTCTAGTGGTGGAGACAAGTTCAGAATTATGGCTATACTAAAAATAGCCAGAATGTGGATTGTGGGGGAAAATGGAAGTTCCTATGGCCAGGATTCTCCCCTGATCCTAAACTGCTTGATGGCATAATTGGCCTGCTGCTAGGCTACTGCTTCCACACCCGTAGGCAATACGCTATTATTGACTGGGTCACTGTATAAAGAGCTCTGCCCAGGGCTCTGGGCAGAGGCAGAGACGAAGGAGGATTACAGAGCTGCAGACTGCTGGATGCAGATGTGATTCTAGTGCTTGACCTGTTGCTGGGAGAATAAAGCCGGGTATAAACCCTTTTACCCCAAGAAGGTTCCATTGTCGTTCCTCCGTCTCACTGAATTCATAGTGGGCTTGCCTGGGATGAAACCCTTGGACAAGACATGGAGTCACAAAGATTTAATGCATATATATTTGCACAACTTAATAGTAGCTTATTGACATAAGGAAACCCATCTTGGATTACTGAATTCCTGGATGGTGTCGTAGCTGCTCAATGGCAGCCCTGCACGGCGTGCGATCTCGGCCTCGGTGACCAGCTCCTTCTCCCATTCGCCTTCCCTTTCATCCACACCCTTCCCTGACACTCCCTTGCAGACTCTGAATCTGGTAAACCAGGCAGAGGAACCCCAAAGTGGCAGCACAGATTAAACGCAGGTCTTCTCATTGTTGCTGCTTGACCCAAATCAGTATTGCCGTGTCAAAGTTGTCATATTTAAAAAAAATTTTTCTGTGTTTTCTTACCTAAGAAGATATAAAGACAAGTGTTTATTTTGTCTTTCAGTAAACCCATTCCACAATATTCTGTGAGAACCTAAACATTCGTCCCTTTTCTAGTTAATTTTTTTCCAAAGTCAAAGATTTTTGTGTTGAAGTATAAACCACTCCGTGGTTTTGTTGTGATTTTAATTATTAGCTTAGTATGTGAACTTACAAATCATCGGTCAATTGCATAGCTCTGATTAGCATGAGATTGTGGCAGACGGGTTTTGCCAGCTAAATTAGGGGCTCTGTGCCTTGTTGGGGAACTTTTGGGACATCCTCACATTGAGATGACTCCAAAGGGATGTCTGCTGGCAGCTGTGTAGTTAGAGACAGTGAACACCTCATAATATGAGACCTGCGTACTGATTAACGGTCATTTCATTTGCAGGCGTCCTCTTAGGCTTACTGCACCACCAGGGTAATGCAGCCTCGGGCGATTTTCACTTGTTTGCAATTTTGTGTTTGCAGTCTCTTTGCTCTCTACTTTCTAATTTGATCTTCACAAAAACCTGGAGAGATAAAAGTAGCCCCTGGAATAGCTTCATCTGACAGGTGAATATACACCCCCGAGAAAGGGGACTTGCCCAAGGTCACATGCTCGGAGAGACCAGGTCTTGAGCCCAGGCTTCTAGTTCTCTTCCTATTCATTCTGTCTCTAGAGTCAGACATCCACACTGTCTTTTTAAAAAGCCTTTAGAAACTTTGCCATTGTTGCAGCCCCAGGTATATGTTTTGATATCTGCATAAATCTTGAGGAAAGCATAGTTGAGACAGTAATAATCTTCTAGGTGAATGGGAAGGGGATTTCCTAAATTTGTATTATTTGCAGAAATTCTAGTGAGACATAAATATATAAACACACATTTGAGTGTATTTTAAAAACATCGCAAAGTAAATGTTTGATAACATGTATAACTGTGCTTTCCTGTTTTTGAGACCCTGGTTCAGTTATTTTCCTGTGAATACATGTTCTGTGGTGTTAGATGCTTACACTATTAATTTAAGAATAGGGCAGGGATTTAGATAAAAGCAAATAGGCCATGGAGGATTAGTCGTAGGTTACTCTACCTGCAATCATGAATGCTTTTTAGCGTTGTTAGCTATTCCCAGTTATAAAGACTTACACAGAAAAAAGCCAGTATAAAAATTTTTAACTTCGAAATGCTTTGATCTAATGTTATGAAATATGTCTACAGGATGAGTCATTTTATGATTTGGTATCACTTGGCATATGCGTTACTTTCTTTTTTGTGTGGTCTACGTCTTCTTAATAGTCTGAGCATTTTCATTTAATTTTTATTAAAAATTAATTATCTTTTTTTCCAGCTTAATTTGGGCTACCATTGACAAATAAAATTGTAAGATATTTAAAGTGTATCTGGTGATGGTCTAATGTATGCATTGTGGAAAGATTCCTCCCATCTACTTAGTTAACACATCACTTCACATATTTATCTTTTTTCTTTGGTGACAGTGTCTGCATTCTACTGTCAGCAAATTTCATTTATATAATACATCTTATCAACTATAGTCACCATGTTATACTTGATCCTCAGATCTTACACATCTTAGGAGTATTTATTTTAGAGTCTGTTTATGAAGCTATAGTTTATAAGTTGACCACTCACAAAACTTTTTATCTCCACAGCTATGAACTGGCTTTTTATCGTGTGCAGATCACATTAGGGCCTGTGCAGATGGGGAAAAGGCAGGGTGGTTTTCTTGCTTGCTTTTGGAGATTTACTTGACTTTTGCAAAATATTTAGCACACACGCCAATCAAACTTACAGGTTACATAGCTATTTTAAGAAGCTGTTTTCTGATCCATTTTCAGTTTTTAAATTGTCTCAGGTGACAAATGTAGGTACTTCTAATTTTGAAGTTTTCTGCAAATAAAAATTATCCGTGAGTCCCAAATAATGCTTTTTATCTTGAATTCAATTTCATACCTTTCTGAGCTCTACTCAATGTCAATATTTCTATCACCAACCTGAAGGTAACAAAAGGGAGGAATGATAATTTCTTTCCCCCCAGAATAGCAAGCTGTTGCTGGGAGAGGCACATTAGAAGTCAGCAATCTTTCTTTTTCGTTAATATTTAATCATGCTTCCATTGGTTGAAAAACCACAGCTAGCTCTAGCTTCTAAGCAGAAAAGGAGAAATCAAAGACTAGGGAAAAGGAAATGAGTTGACCTTGGGGTAAATTTGAGTTTCTTTCTTTCTTCCTTAGGGGAGAGTTATGTGTGTGGCTCAATAGAGCCCTTCAAGAAACTGGAGTACACCAAGAACGTGAACCCCAACTGGTCGGTGAACGTCAAGACCACCTCGGCTTCCCGGGCAGTGTCCTCCCTGGCCACGGCCAAAGAGAGCCCCTCGGAGGTGCGGGAGAACAAGGATTTCATCCGGCCCAAGCTGGTCACCGTCATCAGGAGTGGGGTGAAGCCGAGGAAAGCCGTGAGGATTCTGCTGAATAAGAAGACCGCCCACTCCTTTGAGCAGGTTCTCACTGACATCACCGACGCCATCAAGCTGGACTCGGGGGTGGTGAAGCGCCTGTACACCCTGGACGGGAAGCAGGTGAGAGGCGTGTCGGGGCCTGGCCTGGCCTTCGCAGGCAAGAGTCAGGGAGCTGGGAGATGGATGGGGCCTGTGGTGGGGATCGGAATCGTTCATTTTCCTGCGTTTGCGGGGAGTTGGCTCATTTAGGCAATACATGCATAGCTGTTGGCCTCAGACCAGTCCGAGGACAGAGTTAGACAGGTAAAGTTAGGATTGCTCAGAGATTTCTAGTTTTTCAGGGAATAATTGCTTACCCCGAGGGTGCTTTTCAGCCATGTGTTTTCAGTTTTGACATTTATGATGTCTTCCAGACTTGAACATGACTGAGAGAGAGACGTAAACTCCAACCAGTAGAGGAAAAACTAATTCCTTTCTTGGGCCTAAATAATATTTCACAATTTTAAGTCTCAATAAGGTTCACTAGTAAGATTTATTTAAATTTTATAGATTTTTAAGTGTGTATGTAAGGAATGAAATATTTCCATCTGGATGGCTTTAAGAAGCATACCTTCAGAGTGTTATACGTATTGTGTTGAAAACAATTTTAGAATTAATGTGAACGGGTTTTCTTTAGCTAGAAATGGACATCAGTTGACTGGGATGAGTGGACGTGTTAGTGTAAATTGCTTAGATGAACTTGAAATCTTGTGTGGACTTTTGGAAAGGTTTAACTGAACTCTGATGGTGAGCTGAATAAAGAAAAAAGGATAGTGAGACTTGCTGGTCATTCAGAGTTACCAATATATTTTTGTTTAAGATTGTAATTTTAGACAATGTTGTCTCAGTGACAGATTATTGATGTTTTTAGTAAATCACTTGACTGAGCCTCATTATGCTAATCAGTTTTCAGTGTTGATCAGCCCAAATGCTTTTTAAAAATTATTCTGAGGGATAATTTGAGTGATTTGTGTATAGAGCACATAGTAAAAATCAAAATTAGATTCATAAAAGGTTGATCTTATTAAACAGAAGATTGATACAAGTTCTTGAAGGCTAACACATTCAAATTTGATGAATTAGAAATAGGTACAAATATTAGAAGGAGTGTTATTCATGAAAGGATTTTTCCCCTAGTGATCTATTTAGATAATCCAAATTAGGAAATTCATTAGGAAAGAAGGAGTATCTGCCAGTTGTTCATTCATATTCACCAATCTTTGGCTTCTCTTGCAACTTTCCTTAAGGGGCATGTGAATAAGGATTCTGAGGGATGAAATTCCTGGTCTTCTAGGTCTAGGAAGGTGTAGTCTGAATGTCACCAGTGTATCAGTAATTAGCAAGTCCGTGGCTGCTTGTGAATTACAGCGACAATAAGATGGCAAGGTTCACATGCAAACATTTAAGACCTTCGGTGCTCCCCTTTGTGGTGAGTTACTCAGCGGTCTGTGTGTAGCTCTATATTTTTGTGCATTGTGTTTTCTTGAGATGGGAGCTTACATGTTTTCATTAAAAATAAAATTCACAACAAAGAATACAAACTGATAAATCTTCCTCCACCCTCTTGCTTGAGAATTTTGGGGGTTTCAGATTGCTACCCACTGAGTCAGAAACTCAGCTTTCATTACTGTAGCAAAGTTTTGTCTGCAGCTGATCATTTGCTTATTCCAAGAATGAATTTCTGGACTTGGTACTATGATGTTCTCTATAGTTTTCTTCTCTTTAGGAATTTATATAGTGTCTATATTTTATAATAGCTGTTTTTGCTGTAGTTTACATGTAAACAATGCAGGGTAATGGAAAAGAATCCAAGGTTTAATATCAAACGACCAGGATTCAGATGTTGGCTCAGCCTCAGATTATTGATGTTTTTAGTAAATCATTTGACTGAGCCTCATTATGCTTATTAGTTAAACATCTATAAAACGATCACCTCTGCTGCACAGAGTATTGAGGGGGGACAATACTAATAAAATATATGAAAGCAATATTGAAGTATAATAGTAATGATCGAGCTGTGTTGAGCATTGTCCTAAATGCTTGACATATATTAGCAGGTTAGATCCTCATAACAGCTCGATTATTATCCCCATTTAACAGATGAGAATGCTGAGGTACAGAACTTGATAAAAGAAAGAACGTCCAAGACCACAGAGATACAGATGGCAGAGCTGGGATTTGCACCAGTCTCTCTGCAGAGCCTGCACCTATAGCCACTGTGCCACAGCAGATTATACACCAAGCAGATGTAAATGTACCGAGAAAGAATTTTCAAGGGAGTGATTTGTCCAAGGAGCTTCATCTGAAAGTTCCCGCTATGTATTATTTCCTTCTGCTGACTGGTGTGTTCCACTGTTTGCTTGTGGAGCATTCATCTTGCTGTCGTCGTGTTTCTCCTATTGTGACATGTTCTCTTCGTAGCAGGAGAGGGGGAAAACTACAGAGGAATTGGGTGATAAAGTGGAAAGAATTATAAAGACTTTTTGCTTGGATTCCCAGTAGGTACAAAGATGGTTCCTTGCAGAGCCCAGGAGGCTCTGGAATTGTCTCTGTTGAAATGAGAAATCTGCCCCCACGAGCAGTTTGTTAGACCAGAATTCTTTGACAGCCTTGCCAGAGAGCAAGCCTTGGTAAGCCTCTGAGAATGAACCCCTTTCCTCCAAGCCTTCCTCGGCACAAGGCTCTGCCATAGGAGGGTGGCACCACCAGCCCACTGTGCCATTGGGGCCCACATGCCATCAAGGGAACGTTACCCTTAAGATTACTTGTCCCACCTTTTTTTAATCTAAAAATGATAACGGGCAATCCAATGCCCAATACAGCTTTTAAAAGTAATTTTTTTTTTTGCATTGAGGAAATAGAGTTTAAAAAATTACCTTGGGTAAAAGAGTAGAGAGCAGAATATGCAAGGGGGGGGTGGCGTTTCAGAGGGTCGCCAGGCAGCTTGCAGAATGTATCCCTGGGAAGGAAACTGGCGACTCTGGGCTTTTAGACCACGGAACAGCGAGGGCCTTTGCTGCTGTTACTTATGTCACCCGGAGATGGGCCCTGGAAAGCCGAGATCACAGGCTGTTCCCGCGTGTTCCTCCTGCCCCGTGGCCTGCTGTGTCGCCTCCTGGCTTTGCTCTAAGGCCTGAACTTAGAGTTGATTATGAAGGGCTTTCTGGGGGTTTTGAAGGTGGAGAGAAGGAAATCAACATATTGGAAATGCTGCACCATATAGAACACATTCTCCAGGAAGCTGCACCTTCTCCAGATGGCTGCTGTGACGCGCTCCTGAGCAGCCTGTTTGTGAGCAAAGCCTTTCCAATGACTCCACCGCCGCCCTTTATTCAGGGGCATTGTAGCTGAGTGAAAGGTTGCCGCGACTGTGCCTCCCCCTCCTCACACCGCTCAGGGGGCTCCGCGTGCCACGTAGTCAGGCATTTTTGCTGATCTGGCTGGGGAGGAAACGCTTGCCGTATCTTAATTCCAGTGCTGCTGTCATGGTCTGTGGGTTACTCTATCAGCCTGCCAAGCAGGTTACTTCCAGAGGTCATTTGGAATATATTTATCTTTTAAGTGATTAAAATAAGCCCAAAAGGTACCAGATTTGCTGCAGAGGTGCACGTGCGTATCTGTGACTCCTGTTTTGGACAGCCTGTCTTGAGCTGCTAAGCCTTCTAACTCGGTGATGGTCATTGCATCCTTGCTTAAAAACAAGCCTGCTTAAGCAGGCTACTTACACCGAAAAGATCACGGACAGGGCACTTCCCAGTGTTCCCCTCTTCCCTCTGAAATGCTAACCTAGATTGCTCTTTAAGTGGAAAATGTATGCATGGCCCCATTTTATCTGTCCTCCAACACTGAAGATCTATACAAAAGAGCCACTAGCAGCAGAGGGAAAACTCAATTAAGGAAGTTACATTTTTATCTTACAGACTTTTCACATGCATCACGCACTTTCTAAAACCCACCAGTGCTAGCATGCTAGAGTGAGCATACAGTTTATTGTCTTCCTAATATGGAAAAGACTAAAAAATAACTCAGATAAAGTAAAGGTATTCATACACACATTTCAATTAAACTTTGTGAGAACAGCTGCTCTGATAGTCCCTTTGGGCTGCCACTATAGCAAAATACCACAGCCTGGGTGGCTTGTATAAAAAATGTACATTTTTTTCTCACAGTTCTAGAGGCTGGAAGTCCAATGCCAAGGTGCCATCTGGTAGAGCCCACTTCCTGGCTCATAGCTGGCACCTTTTGGCAGTGTCCTCACATGGCAGAGGTGACCCGGGAGTTCCTGGGCTTCAGTTATAATGGCACTAATCCCATTCATGAGGGCTTCATCCACATGACCTAATAACT